CCCTCCCCTCTTTTATCTTTTAAGTTTTAACACATCCTCATGTGATTACCATGAATCCAGATATGATTTTTGGCTATCAATTTGAGGCATCCGGAGGAGATTTGTCAAAAGCCAATTTTCTCTTTCTCTGAGTGTAAAAGAGCCCCCCAAAAAATTTGTGGGTCTATCTGCAACAATAGAATTAGAAGGGGTCTATCTAAAATTAAGTGATAGTATTGGGGTTTAATTCACAATTAACCCATTTACTAACATGCAAAATAAAATTATTAATTAATTATTACTGATAGAATTAATATAAACCTATAATCCTTGATCCTTACCATAACTTCGGAGTTTTGGTGTGATGGTTAGAGGAGCTAAATTTAAGATGATATCAGAGCAACCCAAGTTCAAATCCCACAGACCATGAATTAAATGCGGATTTTCTAAAATTGACACGGCTACGTGAGTCCAGATTTCGACCCATAAAAAAGGGCGCTCAACCTGTGGAGGCATTGTTAAAATTAATATAAAACTATAATCCTTAACGCTTACCATAACTTTGGAGTTTTGGTGTAATGGTTAGAGGAGCTAAATTTAAGAATTACATTTCGGAACAAAGTTCCAATGGTATTAGGATTCATGAGATGTTTCTCTGACACAAGCATGTTGCCAATGTCTACAGCATATTGAAAAAACAGATGATCGTGATATACATAAGAATGCACACTAAAACAATTAGGATAAACCATAGAAAGTTAATGCAATTATCTCAAGGAGTATGCTATCTAGTATAATCCATAATCACTTCAAGCCTGACAAAAAAATTACAATATAACATTTAACAGCATGTAGGAAAAGCTTAAAAGACGGAAGCGAACCTCTAATATAAATTGCATTCCTCCATCCACAAAATAATATGGGGAATTTGTTAGCAAGAAAAGTTTCTTGCCCTTCTCCTTTAGCATCTTTAGAAAATTTAACACTCGGCTCTGCAGTACAAACCCATGTTAGTCATGCGACTGAAAACTCATTGTGAATGCAATGCATCCTATGATTGAGTATAATAAACAAAAATAATAATATCTAACCATAATTTTCCACTAAGAACTAATATCATTAAGAAAAATAATGGCTAACTGAAGCGGCAAAATTACTTACATTTTTCATTAAGTACTTCTGAGGATTGATAAGAATGCCTCTGTGTAGCAACCCACTTTTATGGACATGCTGAATTGCCTGGTTCACGTCTTGATACACATTAGAAGCGTCAAAGTCCAGCTTAGCATCCACAAAGTGCTGTACAATATCAGCAATAAGACATGCCTACAAGAAGAAAAACAGTTTTAGACAAGTCAGGCACAACGATGATTTGAAGAAAACTAGATCAACATCAATAAACAGTATAAAACTGTAATATAAAATGTTACACTAGCAATTGCCATTGATTTAACATACATGCTAATGAAAAAGAACGATGTAAATATGCCGAACTACATTTTATATTTGGCACAATTGTTCGGCACACTCATCATCATATGCCTGATAGCTCAGCATGTTCGAAATCTGGACAAACAATTCAAAGACAAAAGAAACTATAGTCACCAGAAGGGCATTAATTTGCAGGAATACGGAAGTTTCTTAAATCCAAATAAAATATTTATTAACAGAAGAACTCATGAGGCCTGACCTCTCAGCTTCATGTTTACTTACAGTATTCTGGTCATAGAAGTATTTATTCTCACGCATCACAGAGTAGAATTGAACTTCAAGAGGAACTTGGCGATAATGGTTCAAGCCCCTACAGTGTTGCCTTAGCTTCATAGAGCTATATTTACTAAATTAAACAAAAATGTGTCTAAGTGTTGTTACTTAAGAAGAATGACATGAGACAGAGAAGAACAAAGCAAATGAAGAGTTGCTAGAAGTCGCTTTAAGTAACAAGGATGCAAGTAGTTGAATTAGAGAAGGTACATTATGTATGGCAGAAGTCATACATTTTCTGGCGTTTCATGTATATAAATGTTTGTAAAATAGTAAATCTATCCACTATGATGTTATGATATTATTGTACAGTGGACATTATTGGATAGGAAATTAAGAATTAAAACATTCAACAAACCATCCTAAGAGTAAAAGCCAGTAACTACTGCCAACAACGTTTTTACATATATGCAGTACAGTGAAGAAGATGTGCATAAACAAAGATTTACAATAACAATGGAAAGGACATTTAGATGTATAATATCAATGTTACCTCGCTAAAGCAAAAGAAATCCATCAACCCAACAAGTCCACGTGCCTGATCTCGACCAATATGTCGTGTCCCATACATTACTTGAATCTTTTCCTTGCTTAGCTGATTAACAATAGATGAAAATAGGATAATATCTCATGAGACAACAGTGAAAATTATTACAATAATCAAATAATTCAGCTTAATCATAATGTTGAAGACCTAAAAATTTTGAGCATTTTGCTAAGACAGTAACCATCGATAGGGAATTTACCATTTCTTTCTTCAATCTTTTTTTTCCCTTATGTGTACATGCCAATTTTCCTCTCTTTTAGTTTTTTAGAGTGGTTGCCTGAGTTCTTATTCTTTTTCTTCTTCTTCTTTTGTTTTTAAAAGAGTGGTTGCTTGAGCTCTTCTTCTTCTTCTTCTTCTTCTTCTCCTACTTTTTTTTGGGTAATACTAGTAAAGGTCCATTTTTTCTAAGAAGTTCCAGCAGGCTAAAGGCCACTATCCACATGGAATGAACTATTCCATGCTTTTATGCACCAACAAAAACCAATAGATCATCAGTTTGAACCAAATCTTTCAAAAAAGAGGGTATTTTTCTAAAAAGAGCGCCTGCTCAGCTAGGTGCTCACTTAGGTGCCCGCCTAGGCCTAAACGATACTTACGTCACCCTAGGTCTTGGGATTGCCTTGGGAAGCATGGAATGGGCTGATTACGCATACTCCGCAGCATCAAAAAGGGATATATTGCTTGCTTAGGTGGAATATTAGATGAAGAGAATGAGATGAGTCAAAATGGATCGAAATAGAAATCTATATCCATGTCCATCCTAAGTAACTAGCAAGGTTAGGGTTTTAAGTCTTCAAAAAGAATCCACCCACTCTTGATATAAAAATGCAAATATGTCGCTTAAGCGCCAACCCAGGCACCTAGAAGCGCCTAACACTTTCTAAAACATTGGAAGGGAGTCATTCACACCAAACGAACAAGAAAAGATGAATTTACAAGGAAATAGATGGAAAACTTTGCCCAGTCCTATAACTTCATGCCATGAAAATAGATACTTTGCTTCTTTATCCCGTCTGTTAGAAGATAACTGCTTGCCCCTGCTTACCTTCATGGTGCAGTTTCAAGTCCCTCGACCTGTAGCTTAGAGATTATAACCAGAAACTGGCACACCAACAATCCTAGGCTATAGGCTGAGCCTAAACACATTGCCTCTGTCTTCATGCCATGAATTTACAAGGCAATAGATGGAAAACTTTGCCCAGTCCTATAACTTCATGCCATGGAAATAGATACTTTGCTTCTTTATCCCGTCTGTTAGGAGATAACTGCTTGCCCCTGCTTACCTTCATGGTGCAGTTTCAAGTCCCTCGACCTGTAGCTTAGAGATTATAACCAGAAACTGGCACACCAACAATCCTAGGCTATAGGCTGAGCCTAAACACATTGCCTCTGTCTTCATGCGAAACATGTCTACTGCTAAGGTCATTCCTACAATTGAAGTAAGAGTCTAGTTGTGGCTGCTTATTAATACAGTTCCGAATGAAAAGACAAAAAATGTTACTTTCCTCGCTAAAACCAATGCCAAACATCTTCAAATTAGATATCCTGGTGATAACAAGCCCTATGCAAGCTATAATTCCAGCACCAACTCTCTAGAAACATATTGATCTAAAGCTTGATCAAGAGAGTTAATCAAATAAATAGTAACACACAGAAAAACATCCTAATCAATAGATATTAAAAGTCATACTAAAGCAAAGGTACCCCTCCTCAAATCCAATGATCGACTCAGCCTGAGATGGAAACAAAAATAATAACCTCAGGTTTTCTCAAAACACGAGATTGTCAACCACATTCATAACCACAATACACCAAAGAGATCGTAGTTAACTTGAGAAAACCCGAGCAATGTGACTTTTTGATAAGACCAATGTCGAAATCCTCATGACTGACCTGTAACCGTGGATCCCCAAGGTACCAGACAATGCTCCACTGGTAATAACAAAGTAGTACAGAAAAACAATTGGCAATGGATCTCTCTGCCTTCAAACACATTTTATTTTTTCCTGCCAAATGTATAATAAAATAAATGCAGCCACCAGTTGCCTAGATCTTCTTACACCACCATGCCATAAACCAGCACCAACAAGTGTAGTCCATAAATCACCAATAGGGCAAGAGATACAGTACAATGCGCATGAGCTCCTTAGAAAAAAAAATGAAGTTGATGACAATATGGTCTTAAATCCTCTGCGTCAAACCTACATCACTGACAGTTCACTGAAAAGAAAAAGATGATGTTCAGCTAAAAAGCCCCTAGAGAGAAAAGTTTCTCTTCAACCTCCACAACCAACTTTTAAATGAAAACTCTGGGATTTACTGCAATCCTCAACCTTTTCTCTGGTTTCCAGGTATGCAAACAAGGAGAATATTCTTTAGTCACTATCAACTGTTACAAGTATTTATCAGATTACAATCAACTGGTACTAGTATCAGCGGTTGGAACCTCGTCGTGACTATGCCAAGTACTTCACCCATAACTAATCCAAATAGATATTGTGAAAGAAAATACATCTATATTGAACCAATCTTACTCTACCAGGAGTTGAGGATAATGAAATGTATGATTTAGTATATTTGTTATTCATTAGCACCTCTAACCTACCTTCCACCCTGATGATGTCTGCTTGCTTAAATAGCATATCTGTCATTATGCCTTGTACATTACTGTTACTTTTGATTGTTTATACACTATGTCCTTCAACTGATGCTCATCCTAGATTTAAAGATTTTACAACATTTAGCTTCTATTTGAAGCCCTCCTCTTTCATGATCTCTTATAAAACAAGTTCATGAACAGTGAATCCTCATGCCCAACGCTTCTTCAACTGATCTTATAAAGAAAAATCAGTAGGCATGTTCATGATAAATGTAATTTAATGGCACAAAGTTCCATGGTAGACATTCTCCCGAAGTACAGTTTTCTTTCCACTTCAATGATAGAAAATTCTTGCATGCATGCTCTCTAATCAAGCACAACCTTTTCCTAACAGATGCCAAGGCTTTGTCTACTAGCCAACTAGAGAAAAGAAATCAGTCAAATACAAGTAGCTATGTGTCATCTGAGATAAATGTGACTGCATCAAATTTACCTACCGACATTGCTTGGTACAGTAACAAGAATGCTTTCCTGTACTAACCAACCAATAAGAGACAAGTATCAAAATGCATGTCAACAAATGAGGAACTGATTCTTCAATAAAAATATATTCATTTATTAGAAAGAATTGCTTCCGTAATAAACCAAATAAAGCCTCCTACTATCTCATCCTTCATGTTACCAACTTTTTGTCACTAAGAAACACTTAGTTAATAAACATTAGGCAAGCATTAAAAAGAGAGCATCATAGCTTAGAGACGTATAGCGCAGTAGTAGCAAAATAGTAAGTACAAACATTTGTAATCATTCAAATCCTCATTTTTTTCATGAGTAAGGTTACTATGATATCACCTTGTGACGCCCGAAGTAGCATCCATCGGGTTCTATAGACCCGAAGAAATCAAGCTTCAGAAGGCACCCTTTCAGCTTGTCATAGGCGAGGCCTCTGATCGGAAAAGTTAGGTCATATGCAAATTGCAAGCAGCTCTCCGGATACTTAAGCTGAGATGATCATATTTCCCAAATTAAAAACAATAGAAACTCATTCAATTTCTCACCAATAAATTAATGAAGATATAGATACATATACAGCACAAGTTTGCTAACTAACCTCATCAACAAGGTAGTGTTTCGCCAGGTCATATATCAAACTCTGTAAATTTGATGAGTAATGGGCAAGAGTATAGTCATAGTCAAAACCATAGACTTGAATGTTATCCATTCTGAGGTTCTTGTTTACATAAATACCTAAAATTTGCTCCAAAGGAACATACCAAAAAGTTAGATTGTACACTATATTTACAAGGGAAAAGAAGAAAAGTATAGATCCTTCTCTTTAGCACAACTTTAGTCCTCTGATTACTGAACACAAGAAATTGATAGCTGTCATCTCAAACGAGAGCCTCTCAAGTAATCAAAAAAAAATTATTGGGACTTTTCCTTATCCAATTACACAAACTTAAAAGTCGACATTTTAGCCAAAGAAAAGGTTAAGTGCACTCTAATACCTTAAAGTTTCGCCCATTTTCATCTTTGAATACAAAACTTTTAATTTCCCCCTCAAAAATACCCCCAAAGTTTTACAATTTTTATAGCTTTAATACCTCCTGTTACATAATCGCTCACAGTTCTATCTAAAATGCACTAAGTGATTATCACATGATAACATTTGGCCTTTTTACCCCTAAAGTGAAAAGAAATTCCCTGAATCCTTTCTTCCTATTTCTATTCTTAAACACTACCCATTCAAATTTAAAGATTTAAAGATTCCGTTTTCCAATAAGAAGTGGACTTAAATTTGACATTGAACTGTAGCAGAAACACCATTGTTAAATGACATTCTCATAGAAAATATAAATCTGAACGATGATGTAATGGAAGCTATTAAAGTTAAAAGTGGTGAAACTCTGGAATAATTTTTTGGGCAAATTTAAAGTTCAGAAGTTAAAAATTTTAGAGAGTTAAATTGCAATTAACCCATATAGTAGTTCAGCTAACTACTATATTTTCCAACCAATAAGGTTTAAAAAGAACATCTGATAGGAATCTTTGATCTCATCATAAAGTTAGCACTAAAAAAAGCACCCACGACAAAGTTTTCACATGCACGTCCAAAAAAAAGGGAACTTTCAGGCCAAAACACTAAAAAACGACGTAACAGTGACGTATCGCTTCACCTTCAGGATTCATCCTGGGCATCTCCTTGAGCGCCAGTGGAATATTAAGAAAGCTCTTCTTCGCATCCTCGAACTCTCGCCGGATCCTCTCGATCTCGTCATCCAAATCCAGCGCAACGCTAGGGCTACAAATCTCAGGAGCCACAACGCTGGATAATCCTCTAACAAATCCTCCTTTTTCAAGCCCTAGAATCAATAAAAAAGGGAGATTTTTAGGGGGGAAATCGATAGAAATCACAGAAGATCGAAGGAAAAGAGAGGGGAGAACCTCTAGCTGTTGAGGAGAGGACCGCATCCTTCGAATGGCGGCTGGCCATTAGAGAAAGAGTTGAAAGCAGCGTATCGAAAGGAGAGGTCACGGGGAAGAAGAACGTCGTTTGGGGGAAAGAAAAATAAAAGTGAGCGTGATAGGCGGGTAGAGATAGGGATTTTGTTAATTTGTTTGGTCGGCTTTTTCTTTTTCAAGGTGGCATTTTCAAATTTTGCTTGCTTTTCTGGCCCGCCCCGCCGTCCCCCCCGGACTTTTGCAAATTTTTGAAGACGGGGCGTCACTTGTATTGTATTATGAAGGATGTGAAGTGAATGGGTTGCCAGCAAGGACTGGCTATAATGAGCTCGACCGTTCCCGTTTCCTACGTGTAGTTGAAAAAAAGAAAAATGTCGGACCCCAAAATAGGGACTCCTCACATGTTCCACTCATGGTTCCTTATTTTGGGGTCCGTATAGCAGTACTCTTGTAAAAATTTAGTTTTTATCTATGTGGGCTAGGTGGCTAAATATTTGCACATCTCAGTCCTCTATAACGTAACAAAACTGGATTATCTATATAGATACTTATAAGATATATATATAGTAAAACTTCTATCAATTTAAATTGATTCGTATCAATTTTAACGGTTTCGAGTGAATAGAACTTTTTACATGGCTCGACGGAGGGTCAAACCACAACGAGTTCACACCAAATTTGGTGTGTTGGGGTTTTAGAATATGTAGATCAAGTTTAACGGAGCGGATCATCCATAATGTAGCTCAATCAAGTAATCATCAATGGATAAGAAACTCAGTGGACGTCCACTTAAGTTGACAGAAGTTTTGCAACGCCCATATGTTATACGCAAATCCCCTTTTATAAATCCCCTTTTATATATATATTATTCTGTTGTTAGCCAAAATAAAAAGTTACCTCATATTGGAGAGGTTTCAACGCCCATATGTTATACGCAAATCCCCTTTTATAAATCCCCATTTTTTATAATAACACGCATACAAATACACACATATATAGAGAAACAACAAGCCCAACTTCCATGTGTATTATACTTATGGAATTAGAAGGCTCTGTTTGGCAAAACTAACTGAAAGCTGCGAGATTATAGCTGAAAGATGTTAAGCTAGCTGAAAGCTGTGAAATTATAGCTGAAAGCTGATAGCTGTGTAACTAGCTGATTGACTAGAGCTGTTTGGCAAAAGTAGCTATACAACTAGCTTAAATTTGTTAAATGACTAAAAGGACATGTATTATTGATATAAAATTAGAATTATTAGGGGCAAAAACGAAAGAAAAACAATTGGCAGCTCATTCTCAAAGACAAATACTACTTGAGGTAGCTTTCCAAAAGCTACTTGTAAAAGTCACAATCTCTAAAATAATCTCCTCCTATTTTTGGTCACCAAACAGCTCTACTAGCTTATTGACCAAGTCAATAAGACACAATCTCTTGTTACCAAACAGTGCCTTATCTCATGAATAAACTCATCCGAATATTTAGACATGTGTGAAGAAGATCATTTGAAATTACTTTAGCTTTATAATAAATTGACTTTACACCAACCAGCAAATCCGTTGTAGTCTAGTTGGTTAGGATACTCGGCTCTCACCCGAGAGACCCGGGTTCAAGTCCCGGCAACGGAATAAACTACTGTTTTTGCTTCAACATTATTAATATTTCTAGGGAAAAATTATGTAACATTATTAATATTTCGAGGGAAAAATTATGTGAAGTCTTCAAATTTGAGAACTTTTCTTACTTTTGCCTATGTGCTTTTAAGCCTTTAATTATTTTAAAAAATGTGTCTCAGCCTCTCCAGCTCGTGTATAGCCTAATATTTTATGTATCTGACTCAAAATTCCAACTTTACCCATCTCCACTCACTCAAAATTACCGTCATATTTAGACAATCAAAATGTACCCTTCTTCTTCCTCCTCTCTTTAACTCAAAATCCAAGCGCCAAAAATCTTAACCCTAACAATTTCACCTCCTTCTCCTCCCGATGCAATCGCTCCTCCCCCCGCCGTCACCCTCAATCTCCTGATCCTCATACCCTCATCCTCTTCTTCTGCTCCTTTATCATCCTCTCCTCTCTCTCCTACCTCCTTTGAATCCTCTTCCAAACCCTAATTATAACCCTAGTAACCAATCCTCTCTCCTTCTTCCTCCTCAACCCCCCTCAGAATCTCCTAATTCTACTACTGCAAGTGTAGAAACCCTACGCGCAAGGGCTTGAAGAAGGTGCTAGAGTTCAATTGAAGAAGGTGCTAGAGTTCAATGTCCAGATTCAGATCGAGGATTGTGTGAGGGAGAAGGGAAAGGAGTGGAAAGAGATAGAAGACCTACCGTAAAAAGATAGGCAATAGGGGAGGAACCCTCAGTATGAGGTTCTACGTGCCAAGCTAAGGAAGATGGCGCCGATCAATGGCTAGATAGTGTTGCTATTTCGAGCGAGGTGCAATTGCCTGCTAGCAAAATTGGAGGCTTGGGGACCGAAGAAGGGGCCGAGGTGTAATTGGAGGCTAGGGTTAGGGTTTTAGTACTTCAAGGTAGTTGGATACAATAAAGTTGTTTGATGAAATGCAGCACAAGAATTTTATTGTTTGGAGCTCTGCTATACTATTAAAATTTGAGTTAATCAAAAGAAGCTGCTCAAATTACTATGATTTTTATTGTTTTATTTTGTTAGTCGTTCATAGGATACGAGATATTGTTGAGAGGATTAGTCTTTATTTAAAATTTTATTATACATAGGTCATTTTGTTGGCTTGGAAATTATATGTAGTTTGTACATGATGTATTGGTAATTGAGAAATAAAAGCCTACATACAAAATTTGAAATAATGAATGTATAAATATTTAGTAGGTTAATTATTAAGTTTTACCTAACACATGTGAGCTATAACTAATTAACCGTTAACGTTTACCTATTCCATGTTAAGTATAGTTGAGTAAGTGTTAACTTTTTTCTTTTAAATGTTAAGTTTAGTTGATTAACTATTAAGTTTTACCTAATACATGTAAACTATAGCTGATTAACTGTTAGCGTTTAGTTGTTCCATGTAAATTACAATTGAATAACAGTTAACTTTATTCTTTTAAATGTTATAACATTTTAGTAGATTAACTGTTATGTTTTACCTAATACATATAAACTATAGTTGATTGACTGTTAACATTTACCTGTTCCTTGTTAAGTATAATTGAGTAATTGTTAACTTTTGAATTATGAGAAACGTAGTGTACAAAAGATGCGTTCGGGATATTGTCACCAATTAGTGCTAAAAGGAAGAGGAGAAATAGAACAAGACTATATAATGTAAAATATCAAGTAATTGTTAATGCATGTCTATTAAAATCCACGACGTACCTATTAAGGGTTGCTTAATTCTTAAATTTTAACTTTGTTTGTTTAATTTGTTAAGTTCTAATAAACTTGTATTGTATATTTTAATAATTTTGATTTAAATATTTTCAAATATAGTCATGTAACATCTAATGTTGCAAGATTATGAGAGGAATCATGATATAGGGGGACTATGAGATTGAGAGAAAATTAAAACTAATGCATGACATAGTTAACAATACAATTGGATGACCAACATTGGGATAATCATGTTTTTGTGACTATTGTTAGCATGTATTGAATATATTTAACCGGTACATGACATAGTTAGCAATTACTTGATATTAAACAGGAACAAACAAAGTTTAACAAGTATATAATATAGTTAACATGATATTGGATATAGTCAATAGTTACTTGATATAGTTAACAGATACTAGATATAGTTAACAATTAGTGTTCAAAATTTAACTAGTAGTGTTCAAAAATTAACATGCATTGTGCAAATTTAGTAGCTACGCTATAAGTCTACATACAGTGAGTAAAATTAACATACAATAGAGTCAAACACAAGCAGAAACTATTATCAATCAACAAGGCTCAAATAACAAAGCTCATTTCGAAGTTCAATAACAGTGAGAGAGTGTTTGAGAAAGCTTATTTTTTGAAGCTTATAAGTTATGTTAGCTTTTAGTGGCTTTTGGCTTTTATGATAAGAATATTATAAAAATTATTTCGGTAGTATAGTAATTTGTTTGGTCAAACCTAGCTTATTTAGGTGGGTTCATAAGTTAGTTTTTCAAAATCTAAGGTAAACCAGCTTTTTAAAATGTAACTTATAAGCCAACTTATTTTATATTTTTCCAAACATGTAAAAATAAAAAAAAACTAGCTTAAAAAGCTAATTTGACCAAAAAAAAATCCAAACACCCTCTAAGTCCTTTAACTTAGCAACAAATTCAAGTATTCTTTCTTGTTCTTGCTCATTAACCATAATCATAGTGATCCATAAAATGAAAGTTTTGTGAGTCATTTAATCAAACAAGTGGTGAACAACCATCACGGTCCATGAATACATCACTGTCATAACCGGTCTCTGCCATCACGCAAGAGAGTTTAGAGGTAGAGAGGGTGTGGTCAAGGGAGGAAAAGATGACAGCGAGGTCGGAGAAGGAGATCTTGCCATCGTCATTGGAGTCGAATTTGTAGAGGACACAATTGAGGTCGGTGGTGATGCATGGGGAGGAGGGGATCGATGGAGGAGGTATTGATGGTGTTGGAGGTGGATGTAGGTTCAGATCCAAGTGATAAGGATCAGGTAAGCGGTGATAGATGAAAGATGAGATCTTGCCCATTGGGGGCTGGCTCTATAAATAGAGGGGGTTTTTATTTGTTTTCTTCACACCAAAACTCATCTACTTCTCTCTTATACTCTTATACTCTCTCATACTCTTTTATACTCTTATATTCTCTTATACAATCTTATACTTTCTAATCCTTTCATCAAATGGCTTCCGGATCTAATTATGAAGAGCAAAACCTATCTCCCGATCTTGAAATGAGTCCTCCTACTGGGTCTACTCCTACCGATGTTAATCCCGAATCCGGTGACGACGAATCTGCACCAAGAGCTCCTAAAAGGCCAAGATTCGATGTGTGGAATTTTTACGAGAAGATCGACGTCACCAATGATGAACACGGTAGGATCCTCACCTAGAAGGCTAAGTGTGCGTTGTGCGGCAAGATTTTTCAAGCTCATCATAAGAGCGGCACCAACCACCTCAAACGCCATTTAGATAAACAAAACAAAAGCCAGACTCCTCAAGGTGATATCCGATAATTTATGATTTCTCAATCCTCCTCTTCTGGTAGTCTCGGTAGTTGGAACTATGACGCTGGCAGAGCCAGGAAATGCGTAATCAGGTTTATCATTCTTAAAAACCTTCATTTTAAATTAGTAAAAGATGATGAATTTGAAGATATGTTTAGAGATGGTTTTTATCCTGCATTTAAAAAAATTTCTCGTCAAACCTGTCAACGTGATATTTTAAAATATTATCAGGAGGAACAAGGAAAAATAATTTCTTATTTTAAAATTTTTAAACTGTAAAATTTCTTTAACTTCTGATATTTGGACATCTAGAGCACAAACTGGATATTTATGTATCACAGCACACTGGATTGATGAAAATTGGCAAATATTTAAAAGAGTTGTTTCTTTTATTGTAATAGAAGTGTCACATACTGGTATTAATGTTGCAAATTTAATAATTGAAGAACTTATGAAATTAAAAATTTTAGAAAGAATATTTTCTCTTTCACTAGATAATGCAAGTAATAACAATGTAGCTGTTGATTTTATCAGATCAACTCTATCATTACCATGTCATGGTGATCTTTTTCATATTAGGTGTATCTGTCATATTTTAAATTTAATTGTTCAAAGCGCATTTACTGAAATTAAACCCATGATAGAAAAGGTTAGAACAATTGCTTATATGCATAATGCTTCTGAACAAAGACTTAAAAGATGGAAACAATTTTGTAAAAGAAAAAATGTAAAGCCCAGACTAATTCTAAAAGATGTTGACCATAGGTGGAATTCCACCTATGCAATGTTAAGTATAGCAATAGAATATAAAGACATTATAACTGATTTTATAAATTAGTATGCTTCTAGTTCTAGTTCTGGTAGCACTTATGGAATAACTAAAGATGAATGGACAATTATATGTAATTTAAATAAAATATTATAAGTTTTTTATGATGCTATAATATTATTATCTGGCTGTTTTTATCCAACCATTACTTTAGCTGCTTTACAAATTTTAAATATTCAATTTTTTTTGGGAAATATCGTATAGATGATACTTTTGGACCTATGATTTTTCAAATGGAGAGCAAATTTAATAAGTACTTTAGGCCTATTCCTCATATTTTTGATTTGGGGGTTCTTATTGATCCATGCTTGAAGGATATTGGCCTTCGAAGTTTGTTACAATCATTGTATGGTAATCAGATTATAGACTTAGATGATGGAACCACCCTTACTGCTACTACTCATCATTTAGCTATTAGAAATTATTTTCAAACCTTATATGATGAGTATGCAGCTAGACATGGTGTAGCTACACAACAATCTATAGCTTCGGTTTCTTCGAGCCCATCCCGAGGTAAAAGTGTAAATTTTGATAGGTATGCAATGGTAGCTGAGCTAACTGGTGGATCTGGACTTGGATCGTCATCATTGGAGGTTTCTGAAATAGATGAATATTTATCTGCTTCTTTAGTTAAATGTTAAGGAAATGCTTTAGATATTTTGTAATGGTGGAAAGTATATGGATCAGTTTCATATCCTATACTTTCCACCATGGTTCGTGACTTACTAACAATGTAGGTTTTGACGGTAGCTTCGGAATCCGCCTTCAGCACAGCAGGATGTTTGATCGACGACCACAGGACATGCTTAGATTCGTATACTGTACAAATAGTGATGTGCTTACAAGATTGGTAGAGGTACGAGAAACGAACGCAAGGCATCGATCGGATGGCTGGAATTGAAGATAAATTTGAAGAATTGGGACTAACAGATAGATATAAAGAATAAATAATATTCATCAAATTGTAATTTTTATATCTTAGCTTAAAATTTGTAAAGAATTATTTTAAAAATAGTTACAAATGATAGTGATATAGTTGAGTAGGTGCCAACCTAGTTTGGATGTACTTATCTATTATGATGCGATGAATTCTAAAATAAATTTATACTTATAATTTATAAATAATTTATTAATTATTAATAAAAAATTTATTTTTATAATTTTTTATTTGTAATTTATGTCATTTTAAGTGATTAATAAAATTATTGTTTTTTATTAATTTTTTTGTCTTTTTTGTATAATTTAAATTTTAAATGCTCGGGCCCGGATTTCCGGGCCGGCCCGAATGGACACACCTAGGGGGGACTATATTTGGAGGAATATTAGGGTTAGAGTTAGAATTAGGAGAGAGGTGGTAAGAAGGGAGGAGCAACCATGAAGGTTCAGGTTAGGAGAGAGGAGGGAGGGGCAATATAATTAGCAACGGTGCCGGTGGCGGAGGCGGGACATAAGGATTTAAGGAGAGGGTTGAGTTAGAATGAGAAAGAAAGAGGAGAAATCTCACTATGGTTGTGATCTCCATGAGAGAGAGGGGGGAAGAGGGAAGGATATTTTTGGGTTTTTAGATTTTTTCCTTCTCTCTGTGCTTAGTTGGCGAAAGAATAATGGTCTTGACACAATATTGCCTTGTATTGAGGGCTTAAGCACATATGTAAAAGTAGAAGGGGCTGGAGTACATTAAGTTCTCAAATTTGGGGTCTTGACATAATTTTTCCTATTTCTAGATACCATTCATTCATTCATGGTTCCAATATTTAAATTTTATTTCCTGGCATTGTCCTTGTTATCAAAAGAAAAAAGAAGTAAAAGGGAAATATACATTGTATTAGTAGCGACTCTATGAGAAGCCACTTTCCTAACAAATATACGAGACTCGAACCATCCATAATCAGATAGCTAGCTGTTTATCGTGATAATTTAAAAAAGAAAACGAAAACAAAAAACAAAACAAAACAAAACAAACGCTGATTCTTCGATCTGCAGTTAAAATTTTTCATGAACCGATGCTGGAATGGATTTCTGCCATGATAGCGAGAAGGGACTTGTGCTTCCATTTGAACTTGTTATATTTTGAGATGCACGTCTCCCATCTATCTGCATAGTTGCGAACCCGAAACAGTTAGCAAGTCAACTTTTGACACTGAATAGCTTCTCCAGGGACGCATTTTAACCTGGACAATGTTAGCTCGAGTAAAAGAGGATGAAATGCATCAACATATTGAGACTCTGATTTCCTTTTATTTTCTGATTCTCACAATAAAAGAAGCAAAGTGGCTTACTCACATTTTAGTTATCAATTTGTTCTTCTCTTGGAGGTTCTCGTTTTCTGCGGTTCTCGTCACTTCTTTCCCTGTGAAGAGCAGTCATGCATTTGCAAATAAAGAGTAGAAGTGCTCCACCAAGGAGAAGCATCATAACAATCTCAAGAATTATTGCTGATCCAAGCACTGCAAAACACAAAACAAAATCAGCTACAGCTTATAAGCAAAACCATCTCTTTAGTATTAGTGCATAAAAAATGTCTGTAAGTAATGTATGGTCGCATGGCGAAAGAACCTTCTTCTTCGTTTTAGCTTGACTATTTCAGAGAGAGAGAGAGAGACAGGTTCATTCAGTTTAGTAACACCACCCTGGTGATTTGATCTCTGGACCTCATCGTGCCTTTTTACCTCTCAATTTTGACAAACCAAATTTCTCTCCATGAATTAATTGCACTCGGGAATGCTTAAAAACAGTGTTTTTATGCAAAAAGGTTGCTAGATATGATTAATTCTCTTGATTAATTTGGAACTGTTAGATACTGAACGTTTCTCTAGCTTGCAACCTGTCACGAACTACTGACTTCTGGGATTGTGAAATTGATGGTTGCTACATCTCCTCATGAAAAGTTTTAGTCTACTAATTGAACTGTTTGTCTAATCTGATCCAGTTTAACTTCAATAATATTAATTGGACAAAATGACCAGGGTTGCTGACACCAAGGCTCAGGAATTGTAACAAATTTAGCACTTTAATCTTATTGGTGTATACAACACCTTCAAAAAACCTTGGAACTATTAATGTCAACGTATGAACTAAGCATGCAGAAATGAAGAACATGAAGGAAAGTGTCAGATATCTAGTGATGTTCACAGTTGAAACCAGACAGAGATCATATTGCACTTTTAACAAACCACAGTGAGCGAAAAATAGTCAGTATTAACACTTACAAAGTGCTGTCAATGAACCAATAGGTCTCGTCTTTATCAGATTTACAGTAACTTCAGTACAAAACGGTAATGATGTCATGTCTGTACAATCTAGATAGCATCCGTAATTTCCCAAATCATTCACAGTGATAGTCAATATAGCACCTTGATGTGCACCCTGCATAGAAAGAATAAGCTAATTTGGACTATGTTTATTACCAACAAAATACAGAAAACTAGTTGAAGCACCAGCTACACTGGTCAATATATAGCTAAGCAAAGTAGAACTTTGGTTAGTATTTCAGAAAGTTCAAAAATTGAAGCCAGACAACTAGCACTTACTCAGTTTTTATGCATCAGGTGCACCACGAGAACTATGTATCCTTAACAGGAATCCAAAGTTTATAGCACAAAAGGCAAGTGAAATTATATAAAATTGTATACAATGTTCACAAATGAACTACCCAGCAATAAGAATTTCAAAATTGAATCTAGGCAAAACAGGCTTTCAATCTATGTATCTCAAACCCAAAAGTAAAAAAGAAAACAGTGAAAACAAAATGAATCATTTTTGGCATAGCACATTAAAAATTTATATACCTTTGAAGGCTGCGCATTTTGGAACACAGTTGCACAAGAGCTCAATCAAAAGTTTGTTGGGAGGAAAACTTTGGGCAAAACGACTTAGGAAACATTGTTCCATGTAACTGTCCCATAGGAAATGGAAAAAAGAAACAGAATGAACAACTGCCAACTGAAGGATACTAAACTTACATGATAAAACAATTGTTGCATTGCATTGTTGCAATCCCCAGCTGTCCCTTGAAACCTAATTCCTTTACCTTTAAGAACAAAATGGTTTGAAATGGTAACAAAAGTCTGAAGGGGTTTCCATTGACTGCTGCTTGTTGTCTTCAGTTCAGCTGTCTTGATAAGATGACCTGGCAGACTGGTCGATAAAACTCCATCATTTACTTCCAAGGAGATTATGACCGCAAGGTGAGACTTGTTTCCTGCAAATTAATCTAATAAGTATTACCATATTGATATCAAATTCTTAGACTTGCTTACAACGTGATATGTTAGGTCCATTATCTAAGTATATTCAGTCATGCACCTGAATCCTTTTTCTCTTTGGTATGATCATTTATCAATCAATTGTTTAGCATCATGACAAGCAAGGGATTTTGATATATTGCATAAGAATTATTTTCAGAAAGCTAGCTTTAAAGGCTAATCTTCCTAAGCAGCTGTTGATCTTGCAGACCTCAGGAAAGGAATTAACCTGCCAATCTTTCCGAACCAGCCATAAGAAATTGGCTAGTCTTCCAATTGAACCTGCACAAGTTGGAGTTGAGCGCATGGAATATCCTGTTTCAGGGGCCAAAGACCAGTCTTATGACAAAATTTACACAAGTTTTTTTTTGTTTCCTTCCAAATTATAAGTTCCTGCCAAACTTTAAAAATCAATTCGGTTAAGTATTCACAATTTTACAAGTTCCTGCCAAGAGGCAGTCTTCAGTTAACTATTCACAATTTTTATAAGTTCCTGCCAAACCATTAGAATTCTTCAGTTACAATGTGTGAATCTTCAAAATCTCTACGTAGAGTCCTAAAATGGCCTTTTGTACATCACATGCTGTTTAGTTATGACTCACTGAAGGGAGTAAACTAAAATGGCAAGGTAGCAGGTTTCCTTGGCAATTTGAAGACTCTCTTTAACCCTTTTTATGAACATAATCTTTCAGTTTATTCAACCCAAAAGCTTACCAGGGAAACTAAAAATATCTGTATCTCCGATTGAGAATTCAAAAGTATCTCTTTGTTTGTCAAAAATCTGTAGTCCATTACTTGCTTCTTTCCTCCCTAAGATTATGAATTTGGGAGCATATATAATTGGCGGATCATTAATAGGCTCCACAAAAACTGAAACACGGGAAGTTTCAACTCCATTTTTGTTCATTGTATGCAAACTGATAATATCATTTCCATAGAAGTTCTCATTTCTGCAAAAAGAAAAAATAGAGAAGGAAAGTAAAAGCAAGTTACGTTATGAGCTGAAATTGAAAAGTTGTTCATCAAACAACCAAAAGATAATTCTGCCAAGGATGCAGTTACATTTTAAACTGACATTGACAAGTGAAAGAAACTTTGTATAGTACCCAAGATATTGAATCGATTGAAGAGCATAGTTGATCATTTCAACACGACCAAATAAGATCAAATCCTTTTGCAATTTACCGCCTCTACTCACTGAAGGCAAACTTTCAAATTGATGGCGAAATTGCATCTGCATGGGAGCAAGAAAGGCAGTGCCAGATTGTGCCCTGATAGTCAAAGAGACATTTTCCCAGAAATCGGAATACATTATTTCAAGTCCGGTGAAACCACTGCAAAGATATCAACAACCATAAAATGAAACAGGCTGAGATGTAAAGAAAACTACATACTAATTATATGTAATTCTAAGAGTTGCAAGGAAAGGAATTTCCATGCACTTAGATATGATATATATTTTAAATTAAGGACTCACCCAAATTTGGGGTTGATAACATCTTCAATCACGTGCAATCGAACAGGTAAAGAAACAAACTGAGGTGGTCGACAGAGTACAGAGATGAAAGTTGTGCCAGTAGCATTGTTCTGATTTGTGTCAGAGAATGTATAAAAGAAGGAATCATTTCCAAAAAATCCCCTGTGAGGAGTGTATCTGAACAGGTTGCCGTACTGCAGGAGGGATCCATGAAGTGGCTGTCAACATAAAACAACATTACACTCCACCTCCACAAAGAAAAGACCACGAAGGCCACATACAATATTTCTATTGATAATCAGAAAATAGAATACAAGTCAAAATTCTAAGTGTTGTAGGTATTAAGGATCAGAAAATACACGCATGAGAAAAACATTACATGGCCGAAGTATGTCAGGGTAAATTTGTCCTATTGAGGATATATAGATATAGAGGAAGATGTTATGGAATCTAATCACGATATAGAAGCACTGTTTTAAATATCAGATGTTGGTGATGTTAGGATACACACCAACAAGAAGGCCAGGCCTCAAACGGAGACGCAAAAAACACACCCAAGCAGACACAAATTCAATCACAGTACTCACAGATATAATGTGGTTCACTCTTACGGAGCTACTCCACGGTGCAACGACGACGCCCAATTTCTTTATAAGGATCAAAGAGAACGTCATCTATTGATCAAGATACTCTCCAAGATTTTTCACAAACTCTCTCAATGTTTTCTTTCTTACTCTTCTACAAGAGGAGTTGTTTCTGGAATGATTTTTCCTAAAGAGCCCTATTTATAGTGTTTGGGAAATACTATACACAAATAAAATATTATTGGTGGGACCCGCTAGGGGTGAGCATCGGTCGGTTCGGTTTTGTTTTTACCAAAATTTGAACAATCGAACCGAACCGCCTACAATTTAAAACCGAACCGAACCGTTGCAAGTCGGTTCGGTTCGGTTCGGTTTGTTCGGTTTGAAGGTTTGAAAATATGAGAGGTGAATGGCATGACTAACTACAATGTGGAAGAGTAAGCTCAGATTAAAAAAAAATCACACTGTAACAAATAAGATACAGATCAATACCTTCATCTCATTGCAAAACTATAGCATCACAAGAGATAAGAATAGGAACAATATTGACGCAGACAGAAGGCAAACCCATCAACTATAATACTTTGAAAAAAAACTATAATACTTTTCATTGCTCTAACATGCTTTTTTTCCATTGCTCTAAGAACAATATTGACGCAGAGTCGCAGACAGAAGCTAAGGATTCTGAACTCTAACATGTTTTTTTCATTGCTCTGGAGAAATAACAATTGCATGAGTTTAAGAAAATATAACATAACAAAGAAACCTATATCTATGCACTCTTTCAGCTACAACTATATGGAATAACAACATGAACACAACAAACAAATAGTCAGCTACAACAGAGGCACAACTTGGTCAAGCTAGATACAATTCACAAGTCTAAGCGCATACTAAATCATTTTAGATGATAATAAACAGATCACGTTTCAATCAACACAAAAAAATGCAAATGAGTGCTTGTGTTGCTGTTCGCCATCCTATTCCTCATTGTTTGACATTCATTAAACAGATAAACCACTATTGTAAACATGTACGTAAGCATTATAATCATTCAAATTGAAGAACAAAAGTGAGATATGCACACAACAATCAAAACACAGATCATACACTGAAAGCAAACTGAACCAAATCATGACTGAACCAAATTGAACTAACAAAGCATGCATTGAACTAACACACTAGCATGAAGTTTTGTCGGGTAAAAAATCATGGCTGAACCAAATTGAACTAACAAAGAATATGATAGGTTTGCATGACTTCAAAAAAGTAACCAATTTACTAGTCTAGATCCTCTAAACAAAAGCTTGAAGACAAGAAAATAAAATATAAACAAAGCTATAACACTAGTCCAGGATAAAAACGAAAATAAAATTTTAAAAAAATCCACATGACACGAAAAGCTTGAAGACTGCGGAATAATAGATCCTGAGCAAAAGAAAAAAAAATCCACAACAAAAAAAAATTCGTCTGCGAAATAATCAAATCAAATTATGTCAACATTGAATGAGAAGGAAGCTTGAAAAAGAGCAAAAGAGATCACTGAGATGTTATACCTCGGCCTCAGCGACGGGTGCGGGTGTCCCCCCAAAGTCGAAGATAGATCTTGAGCCTGATCCTGAGCCAGAGATAGATCCATGAAGAATTGAAGACTGCGGAGCGCTCGCGGGTGGTGGCTGTCGGCTAAGGAGAGTGAGAGAGAGTGAGAGAGGCGGACATAGACTAGAGCGAGAGAGAGGGATTGAGGGAATGAGGAACGACGGCTGGGACTGAGAGAGGAAATGAGGTTAGGGTTGAGGGTTGGGGACGGGTCGGGTAAACGGGTAGGGTTTGAGAATTAGGAAAATATATTCGGTCAGTTCGGGTCGGGTCGGTTTGAAAAGTTTTCAACCCGACCCGAATCGCCCTACTCATAAAATCGCTTTTTTCAGATCGGTTCGGGTCGGTCCGATCGGTTTTTCGGTTTGAACCGAACCATGCTCAGCC